AGGATTGACTGAATGTTCTCTAGCTAATTTTGACTATGTTTTTATTCTCATAGTGACTGTAAGCCTGTTATCTTCATGTTAACTCCAAATGTATTCACTTGCTCAAAAATGTGTGTAACTTAAAGACTGACACTGACTGTCGGGATGCATAGAACCAGGGAGGACATTTCCTTCACCTCATATCTAGCCCGTGGACTGTGATTAAATATCCTGGACTAAGTCTCAACATACTACCCTGAGAGATCAATCTTGAAATATTTTGTCGCACTGTAATAAGCCAACGTTGGTCACCTTGAATGTTTAAATTGTTAATGTGTTTTCTTTTCTTTTAATTTTGTTAGGTGTTTTGTGCACTTTTGAGTTATTTGTATGTATGTCTCTTTGAATTGTAAAAAACAATAAACAGATTTTTGAAAAAAAATAAAATAAATAAAATGTGAGTGTAACAGCCTGTGAGTGCACCCACCTCTCCGGAGGGAAGAGAGGAGAAGCAGCTGGCGTTGAAAAGCTCCACCAGGGTGCATGCTGGGACCTGGGAGCCCACCCAGAGGAGCAGGGCGAGGGGGGCGTGCACCAGATAGAGTCCCCGGGGCTCCAGGCTGGAGGCGGAGCAGCGGAGCTCCTCCCCCGAGGGGGGGGGGCGCCTACAGGGGACAGAAGGAGAGAGTTAAGACAATTACTATCTTAACAAAACACACAAAAATAGAGACCATTCTTTGTCTCTTCTTCTACAGTTTCTTATTGAGATACAGTGGGGGAAATAAGTATTTGACCCTTTGCTGATTTTGCAGGTTTGCCCACTTACAAAGAATGCTTATTTTTCCTCATCAGATGGTTATCAATTTTTATAAATTCACATGATGTGATTTTCTGGAATTTTCTTTGGGATTCTGTCTTTCACTGTTAGAATGTACATATGATTAAAGTTATAGATCGTTGCATTCTTTGTAAGTGGGCAAACCTGCAAAATCAGCAAGGGGTCAAATACTTGTTTCCCCCACTGTAAATTAAAAATGACCGAAAATTAAAGCAAATTCTAAAATGTCCCATCAAATGTCACAAAAAAAAGAATCCTCTTTTATTTGTACATTAGGGTTGTCACGATACTAAAATTTTCAACTTGATACCGATACTCAGGAAAATACTCGATACCATTTTTGATACCACAAGGATTAAAACAAAGACCCCAAAATTTAACAGAATTTTGACAGGTTAGTGTCTTTGGTTTCAAACTGACCTGTTACTGATGTTATGGTCCCCCACATTAATGACCCTAACCATGACCCTAACCATAAACCTAACCCTAACCCTTCATACTTGTGAGAAATAAATATTTTTTAGTTAAACTTGTTTGGACTTATTGTATAAACCTATTTACATAATGTTATGTATTGAGTTTAATTCAGTGTTTGTAAGATTCATTTCACTATTTTTAAATTAATGTCTATATTTCGATGAAGCAATTAGTATTTTCTTGCCTGGGATCTTCCTATTGGTGACCTAATCAAAATGGCCGACTTGGATGTGGGGGAGTTGGATATCCGTCCTTGTCTTCCTGCAGACTTGATTAATGTTGGCGTGTTATTATTATTAGCCATTAGCCGCAGCTAGCAATTAGAGGCTAACGTCATGTTAATGATCATAAACAACGTAAATAGATACATAAATAAATCAGA